TATGAACCAGAGGCAGACTGATCTACCAGCACTGATAACAGCACAGTGTTTGTCAGAACCGACTCAGGTCTTTGGAGCTAACACTGGACAGCAGACAGGATTTATTTCCTTATCCGTAACAGCTGCTGTGTGATGAAACAAAAACAGCTCACTGCGCTTTAGTGCTTCTCTGGCTTTTCCAGGAGTCCAAGGTTTCTGTTCTCCATGGTCGTGGTGAGGGAATTTGACCCCTGGCTCCTTTGAAAGCTTTTGGGACCACACTGTGAAGTTTCTAAAATAGCTAAGCAGTGGAAATCTCACTTCTCATTCCCTTATGCATAAATCTTTGAAACCTAACTTGGGTTTTCTCCAGGTGTTAATCTTTCCTCTCCCAAGTGTTGTTGGGAGATTTTATTAGTGCTGCAAGAATTTTGTCAGCTGTTTTTATTATATACAGTATATAGCCTAGCCTGTCAGAAAATCAACCTGCGTGAATTTCGCTGAGGATTTCGACCACATTGACATCTGTATTCAAATGCAAAACAGTGACATTTTTGAGCATTTAAAAATCAATAAAAGCTGCATATGATGCAATAGTTAAATTGCAACCTTTTAAAATTGATATACAATGTCGGGCTGCCATATGGATTTGTCAGAATAATGAGACAGGCAGCACACTGGTGTTTCTGTTGAAACAATGCTCCTATAGCCAGTTTTTTCTGAGACAAGACAAACTAGCTGAGTTTACCAACAAGTTGGAGCTTTTCCCGTCAGTTAACCACAGCGCATGTTGTTACTGTGCATTTGATGTGTGCCTACTGGCACTGCTAAAGACTATAAGAATATACTTTTATTTATGATTTCTCTTATTTATAATTCCACTTTGAAATGTTTTCCCGGTGCGTTTTTGTTAGCTTCCTAGTCCTGTTTGGATGGATGCATGTTGCAAAACCAGCCACATCGTTGGGGTGCTAGCGCCGTTGTATGGCAGCCTGTCGTCATCGGTTTGTGAATGTTGTGTGTGAGTGGGTGAATGGTGTATGATCCTCTGTAAAGCACTTTGGCCAGTGCAACACACTGTGAGAAAAGCGCTATATAAAATACAGTCCATTTACCACATCGTTGTGACAGTCTTTTCTCTTGTTTGAAAACACTTCTAATAAAGTAAAAATATCACCTTTTATGTGTCTTTTCCTGGTGGGTTTTGTCCTTTTCTCCTCGGTCTGGGCAGCAGTTTGCTAAATAGTGTCGTCCAACCTTAATACATCCATGCATCCTATAGTGTCACCGTTAGTCCCCGCACCCACCACAGGGGGAAGTATTGAGAAAATTGCTGCTGGGCACACCAAAATGAAGAGAGGGTGACAACAAACTGAAGGGGGCTGGCTGCCTTCTATTGTAATGCACACTGGCTGACAAAAAATAAGATGAATAAAACCAAAGGCTCGACTGGAAGAGCCTCAGTGGAATTTCTTCTTTTATGGCCAAATAAATGGGTTTGCAGTAGGCACTGATTAGTCTTTGGTTAAAAATACTTTGACTTTATGTGCAGCTCTGAGATCAGCTCACTCTGGTCCTATGGACTATTTAAAGACTTGGTCTGCTGTTCAAAGAATGTGATCTTAACTCCTGCCAACACCTTCTGTCAGTTCATGAACCAGAGGATCTGATACAGACTCGTGCTCCAGCAGGAGAGAGAGAGAGGGACATAGAGAAACATGAGGGTGGTGGGGGGTGGAGCCTGCAGGCTGCTTTTTTTTCATTACTGTAGCTCCCGACTCTACTGTCTCAGCTCGACTGCTCATGTTTGGTTCCTCCCGGTCTGTGTTGGCATTTCACTTTGGATTACATTGGCACTGTGAGGAGCAGAGTGGGAGCCGTATTCGGGGTGAGTGCCTCGCTCGTTCAGCCAGCGGTGTCTCTGCTATTTGACCATCTGATTGCTTTATCTGCAGTTTGGTTTGTTTCTGCTGGGAGCTGTGCAGCTCTGGGTGGAGGGCTGCACAGATGATTTCATTTAGAATCAGAAGATTGTTGTTGTCCTTCACCAGGCAGCAGAGATGCACTGACCCTGCACACTTCACTTGTTTGTGCTATTTGCAGCATGTCTGAAAGTTTTAAGACATAATAATTGGTAAAGTTAAGGACACAAACATTGGTTTTCCTTCATTTTACTGTTATTTTTGGACATGTTCCCACTGCTGGTTCTAGCAGAAACAAACCAGATCTTTTATGTCTTAAGGAGCCTTGAACTTGAGTTGGTGAAGAGTTGGTCTCCCTGTTGTTGTGCTTTGTGCAGTGAACACAATGGACCACGAAATTAGTTACATTTGCACCTCAGGTCTCAAGCTGTGGTTCAGGGACCTAAAAGGCCTCCTGGAAGATAATTCAGCATACCTGGAATATTAGTTAATTTGAAAGGTTTCCGGCCAGGTAAATATGGTGATTTGTGAGAGGTGGAACATGGGTGAATGTTTCAGGAATGCAGCAACAGAGTGAATTTTTTTTTTTTTTTTTTTTTTTTTTTTTTTTTTTTTTTTTTTTTCACAGCTGCTTTCACACTTGAGTTGCCGTCTGCTGGTTCTCTGTTGAACTTGTGCCGGTTTTACAGCTTTTACGGGGTGGGAACATTTACAAGTTTTCATAAACGAGTTTTCGTAGATTTTTGACAGCCTGTACATGTTTTGCTATATGGTAGTCTACTACCCAGGATGCCCCGATGGGTGTGGAGGTCACAGATGCTGCCAAGATTTCATTAAATTTGGAAAGATTCAAAGTTCCCAGATCAATAAGCGAAACATTGTTAAAACACGTACAATGCCATTTCCAACTGTAGTGAGGTAGACAACAAGCTACAACCAAATTTTTATCAAAACAAGCCGTCTTCCACACTGCAGATGGCCGCTGCGCACTCATCTTACAGCCGGCTGCACATAGACCAGATTGAGCAGCATGGATGGTGACTCGGTTTGAGGAAAATGAAGTTGTAGCTTGTTTCTACCTTGCTAGGTGTTTGTGCCCGAATTTGTGAAAATTTGACAAACTGTACTGCAGAGCAGAGATGCACAGTCGCTGAGATCATTGAAATCCACTTAGAGTAATTAACCTACAAATGGGCACAGAAAACATCACATGAAAGCAGCTCATGAGCCAAGATCACTAATACACAGGCAGCACATATCCCAATCAGTGCCTTACAGGCATTTCTGAGAACAGCTAAAGTCAGGCTGTTTACTGCTGTCATGAGGTGCTTTGATCCACTGCAGGGCTGGGAGATTGTGTAGTTATTTGATTCTTCTTTGTGCAATAAGGTTAAAATTAGGGCTGTACCCGACTAAGGATTTTGTCTGTCGGCAGTCATTTGGCTCTTCAGTGCGACTCTTTGACTATTTGTTCTTTTTCTTTTTTATAGTGTGTGTGTGTGTTTGTGTGTGTGTGTATATCCCTCATTTGCCCCCCACTTTGGGGCAGTCTTATTCCTTCCTTCAAGCTCAGGTCCTCTACCAGAGGCCTGGGAGCTTGGGGGTCCTGTGCAGTATCTTAGCTGTTCCTAGGACTGCACTCTTCTGGACA